CGGTCAGGGCTTGACATCCACAGCACCACCCACCCCACCCTGTTAAGGAATCCAGATTCTGGAGAGCTGGGCATTACCTTGCCCTTCCCTCAGCTCATTGCTGTTCCTGGCTCCCCAGTACCCTCCTTTTTTTTTTTTTTTTTTTTTTTAGTATTATGTTGCTTAGGTCGGTTTTAAACTTGCTGTGTAACTAAGTAACTATGTAACCTTGAACTCTTTTGCCTCTACCTCCAGAATGCCAGGATGACAAACATGTACAACTACTTCCAGTTTTTGCCTTGGTGGCAATGGGATGTTGGCATGCACTTTATCAAACAAACCTTGAACCCAGCCCTCCCTTATTTTACTTTATTTGAATATAGTAGTCGTCTCTATGCCAACCAACTCCTATGCATCCTTCAAAACCCAGCTCTGTTGGCTCTTCTCTATGGAGATCTTGCTACCATTTTCCAGGGAGAACCTTACACCTCTTCTGAGCTCACTCCTCTTCAGTTCTGACCTAGTCACCCACCTCCCCAGGAGTCCCTTGGTATTTAACACATTCAGAAAGTTCTGGCGTTGGGATCATGTCGCATATTTGGAATACAAAACAGCCCAAGACACCTAAAAACCACAGTGCTGCCTGGCAGGGCCACGGTGCTGTGGGTACCACAGTTCTGCGTAGGGAGGCCAGGCCCATCCCAGAGGACACAAGACTGACTTAAAAGCTGGCAGCACACAGAGGTGCAGTTCCCAGGTCAAAAAGCAGGGGTCATTGTCAGCCTGGGTCTGGAGTCTCCCACCAGACCCAGGGGGCCTTAGGGATACCAAGACTTGGGTCACTAATGTTCTTCTGGGGTTAGAGTCTCCCTGGGTGCAACATCATGACAGATTAGCAAAGAAGACCTGAGACCTGGAAGCCATGCTCCAGGGTGCTGTCCCTGGGTGGGGCCTTTTGCTGGCCTGCCTTGGTAACAACCCAGTTGGATGTAATGTTGCACACCTTTAATCCCAGTGCTAGGAAGACAGAAGCAGGCAGATCTCTGAGTTCAGGCTGGCCTGGTCTACACAGTGAGAGACTGTCTCAAAACATCAGAGAGAGAGAGAGGGAGAAAGAGAGAGAGAGAGAGAGAGAGAGAGA